CGCCATCTTGGGCGTTCGAACATTTAAAAAAAAAAAAAAAAAAATTTGCACTGGACGCCCAAATGCAGCTTGCACGCCCAACTTGGGCGTGCACTGCATGAATGGGCGTCCAGTGCCGGGCGTTCGTACACGCCTTGGGCGCCCATCTTGGGCGTTCGAACATTTAAAAAAAAAAAAAATTTTTTTTTGCACTGGACGCCCAAATGCAGCTTGCACGCCCAACTTGGGCGTGCACTGCATGAATGGGCGCCCAAGTTGGGCTTTTACGCGTATGGGGGGAGGGGGGGATTGGATTTTTTTGGGAAGTTTTGGGATTTTAGTGAAATAAAGTGTTTTTTTGGGGGGTTTTGTTATAAATCGCGAATAACAATTTTCAAACCGCAAAAAACAATTCCGATAGAGAATGATGTTGACTATCAATCCACTTGTGGACCATTATTCAACTGATTGGACAAACCTTCTCCGAATCTCCATCAAACTTCAACACTATATTCCTATTTTATTTTATTTTATTTTATTTATTTAATCATTATTCAATTTGTTTTTTCAAGAATTCCATTTCCAAGGGCAGAATCGAAATTAGAGGCTTAAATAAAACAGTCCCAACAAAACAAATAAAAATCGGGAAAAATACAGTTTATATCCCTCAAGTTTGCATCGATTTCACATTCGGTCCTCCATGTTTACAAAGAAACATATTTGAACCCTTATGTTTCAAAAATTCAACACTTTTAGTCATTTACTTCAATTTCTCGTCAAAACTAACGGAATCAAGCGTGTGTCCATCACTGCATTAACCAACGGAATAATGGTAAAATGACTGAAGTGACCAAAATTGTTAAAAGTATTATTGAAACATGAACGACTAAATATGAAATTAGTGCAAAACTGAGGGACGAAAACTGCAAATTCCCCCAATAAAAAATATATACAAAATTTTACGTAGTAAGGTGAAATGACGAAATTAGCCCTAGCTCTCCCCCCCTTGCCAGCTCCACACAATGTCCTTCAATAAAACATTTTTTTTCATGAATTATCTCTCTCACTCTTTATTATTTTCCGGTCATTTGTTTATCTTCACGGTAGGGGTGAGCAAAAAAACTGAAAACCTCCGCCGTCACCGCCAATTTCCCCTTCCTCCCCTCCGAAACCCCCTCCAATCTCACCTTATAGTAGTCCTTGCTCGACAAAACCCTAAAATTCACCTTCTTCGCCACTGATTCAATTTTCGCCACAATCGCAGGAGCAGAGCATCTCGATGTGAACAGAGCGCTCGATTTCCTCCGGTTCTCGAACAGGCCCGACAAATCGAATCCCGACGACATCGACGATATGAACTCGAACGCGTTGTAGAACGGCGGCGGGGATGAAGATTTGGACCGGAGGATATCCTCGTGAAGCGGCGGCGAAAAGGGGATCTGAGCCGGGAGGCCTTTTCTGAACCAGGGTAGTTTCGTAATTTCCGGGACCGTGATTCTTTTATCCGGGTCGGTAACAAGTATCCTGGAGATTAATTTCTTAGCTTCGAATGGAAACCATGGCGGACAACTGAATTCCGCTTTGAAGATTTTGGTGTACATTTTCATGATGTTTTCGTGCTGGAATGGCAGAAAACCTGACAACAGAACGTAGAGGATGACGCCGCAGGACCATATGTCGGCCCTTGCGCCGTCGTACCCCTTCTTACGGAGGACCTCCGGCGCGACGTACGCCG